GGTGAAACAACATGAATCGGCGAACGGAGAAAGAAGGAAAGATTAAAAAGAGGAAGAGTGCAACAAGAAACATGTTCTGAAAGTGCAAAAAAAGAGCAGGGAAAGTTAATGGAAACGTTATCTACGCGCGGCACCTTAAGCAAAATAGAGAAATCACTGCTCGGTACACGCGAACTGCCCTCCCCTTTTCCACCTATTCTACTCTCTCCCTCTCTCCCTCTCTCTCTCTCACTCTCCCCCCTTTTTCTCTACATTCAAATCTTTTTTTTACGTTCGCTTTCATGCAGCCGTGTCGGCGGGAAAGACTGAAAGGGCTGAATAATAGGCACGTTGAATTCTTTAAACGCATCTCCTCGTCTCACCCACGGCGAGATACGCCGCGGCAACAAAATTTCGCCGGAGTTATGGAATCGCGAACGCGCATAAGCGATGAAACCCCCGGTGTATTTAAAACTCTGCCCTTTTGTCTTTGCTCGTCGTTTGTCCGACGAGGTCGTTTTCTCCAAAAGAAAATGGATTAATTAACTCCAACGACCTGCACATCCGCTCCGTGACGTAAACATGGAGAGAGAGAGAGAGAGATAGGGAGGGAGGGTACAACTCCACATTCCACAGCACGGTGGAATGTAATTCATTCGCGTTTCGCGTGAACGATCGTTACGTTTTATCATCTTTTTCCTCCCAATTTCCAACAACGTGTCTTGTTTATTCGTCACTGGCCCTGTTCTGTGTGTTGAACTAGCGCATTGAACGCAAGGCCAGTTTCGAGATGGAAAATACGGGCACGGAAACGAAATCGTACGTACAATTACAAGAGTGAAATGCACGGAATGGTACTTTACCAATTTTCAGGTTGTCGCGCGATCGTTGGTTTCTAGTTGGTTAACGAACTGGTCCTTACCTGCAACATAAATTGCACATTCTTGTCAGGTCGTTGATTGATTCTAGAGATCTGCGCGTGAACTCGTTGCAAGTTGGATAATTAATCTTTATTCTTATGCGGGGAGAGGGGGAGTTTCAATTGTGAAAAATATCTTGGTATTATGGTGTCAATGAAAAGAAAATTCGAAAGCTTCAAGTTTATAGGAAAATTTTCTATGAAACAGATGAAAATCCAGCGGGAAGAAATTGAACTTTCCCATTCCACGAAGCTTGTATCTCGTATTTCAGTTCACGTATTAATATTCGTTCTTTTTGTTTTATTTTTTTTTCAAAGTTATTCGCACAGGAAAATCCAGCGGCGCGAAATCGGGCAATATCGGCGGCGATATCGGATATTGTTCTCTTTATTTATCTCTGTATTTTCTATTGTTGTTGCAGCTTTTTTAATAAAGCCTTGAGCAACCTGTACATTTACACGTATAACACTTTTTTCCATTATTCATACTCGCGGCACATCCTAACAAAGATTAACCAGAAAAAATTGGAATGCTCTTCACAAGTGTTACTTTCCCTGCAAGCCACCTTTTCATCAATACTGCAATCAAATAATTGAAAGAGTGAGACTTTGAGTAAAAATTTGTTTCACCTGTGAAATATTATATTGTAACAATAAAGCATTAGTACTATTTTGTACGCTTTATATTTGTGTTTTTATACTTTATAACTTGATTTAAATTGAATTGAAAAAGTGCGACCTACGTAAAAAAAAAAAAAAAATTGTTTCATCGATAAAATATTATAACAATGAATCATTGTATACTTTACACTATTTTGAAGCTTCATTGTATACTTAGAATATCACGCACATTTAGTCACATATTATACGGTAGATATTTTGCTCGTTTCATTTGCATACATTCTATAGACCCACACAAGTGTGCAAAAATCCACAATATCTAGTCATTAACTTCACATGTATATTCATCGACGCAACAGCGAGAGGTGGGAAAGTCGGAGGATCCAAACCACGGCGTTTTCCCATTTCAAGTCAGACAACCATCGTTTAAGTCAACTTCGTCGTATCTTCGGCGCAGACACGCGGGAGCCGCGGAATTGCTTATGCGGCGAGTAGTTCCCTTAGCAAAACAGAAGGCACGCCTGGTCTTTTTGTATCAACCGGCTTGCAAGTAGTATACCTTTCGAAACTATGGGCGAGAGCAGAAATTTCGCAGACTTTACGCGATTCAGCTTATTCGACGGTGTCTTTCGGCGGCTCCTCGCTGCTCGAAAGCCTTCCTTAGGTCTTAACCTGCTGAAGTAGGCAAACACGCTTCCGGCAAAGTTGAGCGAGACGCGTTTCACGCCGGTCTCCCCTCTCTCCCTTGAGAGAGCGCGCCAACGCGTTTTCAATCACTTGCCGCGCGAATCGTCGTTTGGAAATTTTCGCGAATCTTTCATCAACAAGTGAAATTAAATGATAAATGTTGAGCTTTGAATTTTACAATGAAACGTATAAAGTAGCGGGATTTATTCTGATGAATTTGAGGAGTCGCATTGATTTCTGGACATTCAAAAAGTTCTAGACTTCAACTGAAGTCTGCGGGAAATTTGGGGAATTTCGGTAGACAGATTATCCATGGAGGGTTAATTTTGCTCTTCACATTTCAATGAAATATACAAAAATAGGACTGTCTCGGTTCTGGAAAGCTCTGCATTCCCGGTTGTAATTTGATTTTTCAAGACGCGGCATTTTTCAAGCCACTCGAGCTCCAAGGAGTCAGTGGAGGCAGCTTTTGGAAACGCGACGACGGATGGAACGATTCGAGAAGCGCACGGTGGAAAATGATTAAATTCGCGGGAACTTGGGGGAAAAAAAAAGAAGAGAAAAGAAAGAAAGAAAATCTCGGCAGAATTGCCCGGGAAAGAGAACGAGAGAAAGAAATATAAAAGGGCGTGTGAAACGTAAGACGAGTGTCGGATGGAAATCTCTTTCGCCGAACGGTCGCCATCATAATTTTCAAACTTACTCAACTTCTTTTCTTATTCGAATGTTACTGTGAAATATAAGGAGCCTGAATACCCAAGAAGGAAATAAGATGGAGCCAGGCTGCCGGCCTCGTGATGTATGTACCAGGCACTTTTACACCGCGAATTTCAACACGTCTATTCCGTCTAAAATGTAAAATTGAATCGGTCCGCACGTCGTTACGAGCAGCGAACCAGCTCGATTTTCGCGCGTGTTAATTCTCACAGGAGCCACGGTGTGAGTGACTTTCAATCGAGATAGATAGTTGTTGCATTTCAACGCGCTGCTCGAGTACAAACATCTATCACGGCTTTAGAAAATTTGAAAGTTCCGAAAAACCCGCGTTCAGTTTCCACCCTGTGCCTCGCTGCGGAAAATATTTAACAATTGCAGTTTTTTTTTAAAATTAATTCACGACAGTAAAAATATATACGTATTGCAATGCAAAGAGGAAACTATCATCGCGATACGTACGAAAGATCCACGCCGTGAACTTCAACGCGACGTCTCTGAGGACCGACACTGTTTCACGGAATTACTCTCAAAACTCGGCAGAAATGATACTTGCAAGTTTCAATCATGGCTTTAAGGACATTTGGTTCGCAGAAATACTTCAACGTGAATGGCCCTATAAAATATTGAAATAGAGTTTAGAACAGAGCTGGCTAAATGGCGGCCCTTGTCTCTACTTTCTCGATCGGTACCCCCTCCACTTGAAATTTCCTCCCCCACTCTTTCGCTAAGTCTAGTGGAGGGGGTAACGAACAAAAAAGTAAGAGCAAAGCTCGCGAGCCGCCAGTCAGCCAACTCTGGTTTAGAAGATAAATTTCTAATAGAAATGATGAAAAAACTGGAGGCAATTATTGTGACGCGTGGAGATCAAAGTCTCAAATCGATCAAGATTCCAGTATTATAAATATACTCTATTATATAATATATAATTAGCACTGGGTCGATGGTAGATAGAAAATTCTATTTCCAGCTACACATCGTCCATGTCCGCATTTTTCATGAGATATTCCAATTGATTCAAATTACACTGTCAATTATTTCTCTAAAACAATTCGCAGAGATTATCTGACATCTAAAGAGGCTTTCTTTAAAGCACATTCGTGGACAGTGGTAGCAAGTAATTTATTACCCCAGGGTTCTCCTTCAGTGATGTCTTTCTGAACAAAAGTTGTGATTG